AAAAAAAAAAAAAAAAAAAAGAAAATGGATGGTTGGGCTGGCCCGGTGGCGCACTTGGTAGAGTGTGGTGCTTGGGAGCGCAGCGGCGCTCGCGCCGAGGGTTCAGATCCCATATAGAGACCGGTCTGCTCACTGGTTGAGCACGGTGCGGACGCGACACTGAGGGTTGCGATCCCATTGCCGGTCGCGGTACGGGCGCGACACCGAGGGTTGCGATCCCGTTGCCGGTCACAAAAAAAAGACAAAAAGGAAAAAAAAAAAAAAAAACAACTACAAAAAAAAAAAAAGAAAATGGATGGTCAGTTGAAGGCTCAGCTTGCATCTCATCAAAAAATGTCTCAGTGAGAGAAAAATAATAAATCAACACAATTATTTTAAAATCTTGAAGAGGTACATATTTTACTCACTGATTATTAAAAATGTTATGAAAGTCCTATTAAGATGGGTACATGTTTGTAGTTTGTAAATTATTTGTTTGATACAGGTATTTGTGTGATACTCTGTGTTCTACATAGAATCAAATTTTGTACTGTCAGAGTTTTGTCATGGAAAACTTTCACAAGAAAAGGACAATAGAAAAATAGTCAAAAGAGAATTTGTAACATTCCTAAGCCACAAGAAATATCATGCTTTCTTTGCTGAAGATATGGATAACACTGTTTCAGGTTGTCCATGGAGACAAACAAGAAAAGGATTCAGAGATATCGATGTCATTCTGCAACTGAGCCCTAATAGCAGAGCTTATTTCAAATCCAGTATTAAAAACGTCTCTCTACTCAACCACATTTTGTGAATGTGCTGAAATTCTATCTCAGCTTTCTGAATCTGAAAATAAAACGATAGCAGCTCTCATGACTTCTCTTTTTAATATAAATTCTCCATCCTAAAATGGTTTAAAAATTGGACTGCTAAATGTGATAGTGTTAAATAAACAGCAGCTGTCATAAAAATAACCAAATTTAACAAAAAATATTGGGAGATAATTTTTCTATATTCTTTTTTTTGTTTGTTTGTGAGAGAACAACAAATTTGTGATTTGATTCAAAACGTCTCTATGAAAGAAGAATTGTTTTGGAACATAACACGTAAAGATTTCTCTCTCTGTTTTCATGAAAATATAGTCTATTGTCCCCAATAATTAACATTTAAGTAAGTTCTTTTTTCTTTCAATTGCTGACACTTTATATTCATCTTAAGGGTGACCATATATTTTTTAAATCTATTTAAGCAGATTTCATTTTGTTAAATAAGCCATTGGAGAAGCATATACAATCAAAAGCTTTATTGAAATACTCAGGCATGATATCAGACTCCAAGTCCAATGCAAAACCTTCAGCTGGTATGTAAATTACTACTTACAACAAGAATGCTGCAGTGCAGTTGATAGCACTATATATTTATATACAATATAGTTTCTACCATGATGTAATTTAAATCTATGTCTGTTTACTATAATTATACTTAAGTATGATTATAATATACATAAATATTGACTTTTCCAGTATTGAGCAAAGTGTCATGAGAGGTTGGAAAAAAAAAAAAACTATCAATTCACCATCATTAGATTCATCTCATCTTCTTGTCATCATCAAAAGCAAAGTTAAGTATTTTCAGGTTTATTACACTATAATCTAAAAGAAACTCTATCCTTTTGCCATTTTCCTTTTTCACATAATTTTAGTAATAATGTTGGAATAAATTTACAAAAACAAACAAGCAAAAAGCCCAAAGCAAAATAATATTAAAGTAAAAATTCTTTATAAAACACAACTGAGGAATATTCCACATTCCTGTCAGGAACAGGGTTTTCCCCAGCAGGGATTCTGGAGGAGTCTGCATCCCTAGGAAAAATTACTGGAGTCTCGGTGGGCATGAGCATGGGCAGGAACCCCCAAAGAAGAGGGGAGGCAGGCAGAGCTGACTAATGACCATGTCCATGTGCAGATTCTGATTAGCTGTCCTCACTGTCCCCAAATTAGAGTCACTGCTTTAAAATGGTCCTTTTAGACTGAAACAGAAAGAGTTCTGCCAGCCTACATGCACAAATAAGAAGGAATGAAGTACATACATATAATCCCTCCTTTGGAAGTAAAATAGCCAGGGTTTGAATCAGCAAGCAAGGTTGAAATACCACCACCACGAGAGAGAACACACTGAATCTAGTCTGGATAAGGGTGGAGCTCTGGAGTCAGACTGCCTGGGTGTGGGTTGCAACTCAGTTACCTACTGGCCAGGCCAGTTAAATTACATAACCTCTCTGTGCCTCAGTGTCCTGTTCTATAAAATGAGGATATTGATAATGCCTACCACATGTTGTAAAGATTAAAAGAGAAAAGCACGGCAACATTTAGAGTTCTGTCTGGAACACAATAAATGGTAACTACTATTATTACTATTATTATCATGTTTCTGCCATTCATTAACTTTGAAAACTGGGCAAGTCTGCAATCTATGGGTTCAAGTTGCCTCATCTGTAAAATGGGCAACAGCAATACTTTATTATCTTGAATTGCAGAAAGAGGAAAGCAGGGCTAGGCCATTTAATCTCCTGAGGCCCATTTGAGCTCTGAGACACAGTTATTTGGGGGAAAAACTCTGCACAGTCAATACTGAGGAAGTCCTACCACTAAGAGCATGCTGCAGAGTGCTCACACTGTCACTGGAACAAATGACTAATAATGATTAAGGTTCCAAATATCATTACATTTCCAATAATAGCCTAAAGTCGTTTGGCATGAGACCAATGCTTTCCTTGGCATTAACACTTCTATCTGTCCCCAGTCCTGAATTAAAGGTCTATACTAATTTACACAGCCCCAGATCCAATGTGCATCCAGCAGAACATACCAGCTTCAGATGTGATGAAGTTTTGGACAGTCCATTCACTCCATTTCCAGAAGTGGTTGGCATCAGCACAGCGTACCTGGGTGACATACTCTGTGTCGGGCTCCAATTTACTGAAGTGGTACTCACCATTCACCTTGACGGAAACATTGTGCTGCTCAATCAAAAGAGAGAAGAAAGAAAAGTATTGGTGAGCATACCTGTGCAAAGCCACATGAGGATACAGCAAATTCTGATTTGTAAGACCAGTTCTTCTTTGGAAAAAAAAAAAAAATGTATGTGTCTAAGGCCCTCTCTCCAACTCTAAAAGTCTATGATTAATTTCATAGCCCTTTTTAAGCAGATGATCCACACCATTTGAACACACACAGATATAAATGTTTAAAGCAATTTTATTCAGCAGTCTCTCTGTTCAGGACATAAAGGGATTTTTGAAAATAAATTAAGCAGTGTTCTTACCTGAACCATTTTTCCTTTGCCATGGAGTTCAACCTGACACAAAAGTGTGGAATGATTTCTTATAGAAAGCACCTTCCAGGTCATGATGGCATTTGTGGCACTTACATTTTCAAAGTTGACACTAAAGGGAGGCTTTGGATGAACTGCCACAAAAAAAAAAAAAAAAAAAAAAAAAAAAAAAAAAAAAAAAAACCAGAAAAGTAAAGAAAAGAAAAAGGATAAAGAGCAAAGAAAAACATTCAGTCATTCAATCACTAATCCAAACCTTCAGTAAACAGTTAGTTCATTTCTTCATTTATGTATTCAACAAGTATTTTTTATTTATGTTTGAGAAAATGGCAAACAAAACCAGACTTACAGACATGATGGAGTAAGCCAACTACAGTCCTTATCTCTCACTGATTATATTAAACAAATTGAACAAAATACAAAAAAGAAACTATCTGAGCACTCTTAAAATTAAACACAAGCAGGTAGACTGTGGAGGGAGTAAAAACTTGGAGAATCAGCCCACAGGGGAGGATTAAAATGGAGCCCACGGTCTAATCAAAGTAACATTAACAATGTCAAGGATATAACCCAAAATTGTTTCAACATACCCAAAAAAAGAAAAGAAAAGAAAAATGTCACCAATTCCCAAAAGAAAAGACAATCAACAAATGCCAACCTCAAGATGACCCACACTGCTGCATCATTAGACAAATACTTTACCATGAGGAAAAGGTAAACGATACGAAAGTAATACAAGGAAAACACTTCTCAGCAGAGAAATAGAAACTATTTTTAAAAGAAAACAAATGGAAATTTTAGAACTAAAAAATACCATAAAAAACTGACTGGATGGGTTTCAGTTCTAGAAAAAATGAAGTAAGCAGCTTCTATCCTGTCTTCTTCACTGAATGCGGGGGACATAATTCATGGAATGCTATCTGAGAACTCTGAAAGGTAAACAGCAGCAGGCAATTGAAGAAGATGAGAAGTGGAAGTACTTCTGAACTGGCAGTGAGTTTACCTTTATTTTTATCTGATACACAACCTGCTGTACCGTACAGTCAGTTCTCCCAACACTTGGTCTTGGACAAGGGCATGGTAGTGAAAGTGAGTGTCAGAGTACGGTAACTAAAGTCCCCAATTTCTGGCTGGAGAATCAAAAAGGAGAGTTCAAGGGAACCAAAAAGTACCAAGGAGACTATGGAGAGAAAGGTGCTTGGGAAAGTGACTCCATGAAGTTGTTTATGAACTCTTGTGCTCACCTCCCAATTGCATATACATGGATCTGACCTTATTCAGCATACCAAATACTTTGAGAACTGAACTAACAAACAGACCACTGCCCAGGTCCCAGACCAGCCACAGGGAGGCTCACACAAGGAACAGATCTAAACAGCAGTACAAAGGATTTGAAAACTGAACTGACGTTGGAACCACAGACCACAAAAGGCAGGTTGAAACACAGCCCAACCCTAACCAGGTCAACTGTCTACTAAAACAAAACTGTCAATATTCACCATAGGATCTAAACACCCAGAGCCTCACAACATAATAGTCAAAATGTCCAGGATAAAATCTAAAATTATTCAGCATGAAAAGAACCAGGAAAATCTCAGGTCATATGGGAAAAGACATTGATAAACGCCAACCAGAAGGTGACCCAGATGTTGGAATTATCTGTCAAATACTTTTAAACTACTATAACAACGTTCCAATGAGCAAAAACAAACATTTTCAAAACAAATGGAAAAATATAAAGTCTCAGCAAGAAGATAAAAAGAATGAAATTGAAATTTTAGACCTGAAAAATACAATAACAAATAAAAATCTCACTTGGTAGGATCAATAGCAGAACATAGATGACAGAGGAAAGGTATATCAATAGAAACTATCCAATCTGAACAAATAGGGGGGAAAAGAGATATAAAACAAAAAGAAAAAAGCCTCAGTGAGATGTGGGATTATAATAACAAAAGCTCTACCATTTGTTAGAGGCCCAGAATGTGAGGAGAAAAAGAGCAATGCTGAATAAATACTGGCTAAAAACTTTCTAAATTTGATGAAAGATATAAATCTACAGATTCAAGAAGCTCAGGCTAAAGCCCTAAATGGGATAAAACCAAAGAAATTTATCTTAAACACAAAATCAAAAAGGTCTTGAAGATATATCAATAGAAATTATCCAATCTGAAGACCAGAAAAAAATTAAGCAGAGCCTCAAGGACCTTAAACAATAAAAATGCTTTGACAATATTAAAAGTACCAGAAGTATAGAAGAAAGACATAGATTCAAAGAAATCAGTGAATGAATAACAATGGAAACTCCCAAACTTGGCGATCTACATAAAGTTACCTATTCGAGAAGTTCAGAGAATAATAAATGCAAACAAGACTACACCCAGACACATCATAATTAACCTGTTGAAAACCAAAAATAAAGAAAAAAATCTTAAGCAGCTAGATAAATATCATACATTACATGTAGAGGAATGATTCAAATGACGGCACATTTTATATCAGAACCATGGAGGCCAGAAGAAGTGGCCTGAGAGAAAAAAGGTTTTAAAGCTGAGAGAAAAGAGGTTTCAACCCAGAATTCGATACCCAGTAAAGTCAGCTTCAGGAATGAGGGCAAAATAAAGACATTCTCAGGTGTAGCCAAACTAAGAATTTCTCACCAGCAAAACTACTCTAAAAGAAATGCTAAATGGAGTTTTTCAGGCTGAAGGGAATTAACATGAGAGAGAAACTCATATCCTCAGATAAAAGGAAGAACAATAGAAATGGCAAATATGAAGGACTATTTTCTCTTTAGTTCTTTAAGAAATCTGTGAATGATGCAAGCAAAAATGTATAACACTGGCTGCTGGGGTTTCCAGTGTATGCAGACATAACACAGATCACTAGCACCTTCCTCAGTGGAAGAGGGTGAAGGAACTGATACATTGGAAAGCTTCTAAATTTTACTTGAGGTGGTAAAACATTAACTCAAAGATGCAGGGAAGTTCTCTGGCTGACTTTTATCTGGCCCAGTTTTTCCCCTTTCTTATTTGTAGTTCACAGAATAACTGTAGAACGCACTGGATACACAACATCCTGAGATCAGAGGGGGACTGGCTGGAACAGCCTGGGCTCTTTTCCAGGTTCTCCTAGAAACAGAATGTCCTTCAACGCTTTAGCCCAGTAAATTACACATTCTTATGGTATAAAACCCAGGGTAGGATGCTTTCTGAGGTCCCTCAGGTTCAGTGCAAGTGGAGAACTGGAGGACAAGATTCCATCCGTCTTGGGCAGCTTTCCCGAGCCTTGGGGGACCGACTAGCAATGAGCCCCAGGCTTTTGTGGTGCCTTGCTGCCCATCTGTAAGTAATACATCCTGTTCATGTAACTTGTGTTTGAGTGTGATCTGTCTCACTGGACTCAGACCTGTTAATAACTGGTGCACAGTGAACCTGCTTCACACAACTGGCACAGCGACCCAGCCCAACAGAAACATGGCGATTCTCCCCAGTCCTACCCCCCCCACCCCCGCCGTACCTAGCCCAGAGTGGAGAGGTCAGCCTAGGGGTGCAGGGGCTGGACTTACAGCTAGATGTTTTATGGGCAAGGAAGGGTGTTGAATGGGACATAAGTCACCCCCTACCCCAGAGAATGTGAGTATGTGGGTGAGCTGGTTGCATGGACTGGGGCAGAGAAAAAAACTCAGAAATGGGAGCTCAGCACATGGTCCTGTTGCCGAGCTCATGTGATCGCTCATTTCTGGGTCTGGAGAGCTTAGGGATGGTACTGAGATGAACCCTGAGGCATCTGAGGGGTGCCAACAACAAGGCTGGCCTTCACAGAAGGGACACTAATGAGCTAAAGGGCAGTTATGGACAAAAGCCAGGAAAGTCTCACACAGCCTGGTTGGTGTGCTGGTTTAATAAAGGGACATTGCAGACCCAAATGTCTCAGGCTGAATGGTGCAGTTAGGGATGGCACCAAGGTCGCCAGGTCCCCCCCAGAGGCCAATGGTCCTATACTCCTGTCAAGATAGAAGGGGAAAAAAAAGAAGAATTCAGACTTTTCTGGGGTTCTTTGATGCTGGAGCCTATATGACAATATTTCCCAGTACTCTCAGGGGAAAAATTAAACTGATGGCATGGGAAGTTTTGGGACAAAGACCCATGGTGCTTATCCGCTTGTGAGTGGGGCCCTTTGGGCCATATCAGATGCTGGAGACTATGGCTCCTACCACTGAATACATTATAGACAGTGAAATTTTGGCTGCTTGTGGCACAGAACATCACCTCCGTAGGAGGGGTATGCACCCTCACAGCTAAGAATCTGAGCCATAACACTGGGGCATATCCATCCCTGCCACCTGCGCCACCCAAGTCCCAGTGGATTATTCAACAGAAGCAGTACTGCCTCCTGAGTGGAGGACAGGGCATTACTTTGTTAATTCAGTACTTAATACAGATAAAAATGTTACAAACCCCCTGTCACAACGTAACATCTGGATTTGGCTGGTCAAAAAGGCCTCCTGGGCTTGGAGACCAACAATGGACTCTCACAAGCTAAATGCCAAGGCCACTTGGGCTGAAAGCCAAAGAAATATCCCATGTACAGTCAAACAAAAATTACTGACCTGACGGCACCCACTAATAAAAGAGGCCCAACAGCCGGTTGGCCTTTTTGGGTAATGGAGACAGCAAGTACTCAACCTCGGTGTTCTTTTGGTCCCCTTAGTCAAGGTGACCAACAAAGTTTTAAATGGGGACTTTGGCAACAACAGGCCTTGGAAGTCATTCAGCAGGTTGTGGCCCAAGCACTGTTTTTAGAATATTTACACCTGCTAGCCCAAAACAATTTCCGATGTCCAAAACTTCCATTCATGTTGATCAGTCAGTGGCAACAGAAAACTGCCACTGGCATGTACCAGCCTCTCAGATTTGGGACTGTAAGCTGTCGGATTGCTTGCTACTGGGCAGTGGTGGAGACTGAGCATCTCACGGCCAGTGTGTCACATGGGATGCTACTAAATGAACTGCCCAGGATGCTTACAAACCCCACCAATAAAATTGGACAGGTTCAACAGAGCCCAGTTATCAAATGAAACTGGTACATTTAAGATTGGGTCCAGCCAGGACCCCAAGGGACCAGTAGGCTC